GCCTTTGACTAAGCTACGCCGGGAGATCCTCCAGATCCACAAGGACGAGTTACCTACCCCAAAACCTCTAGCACCCAACCCAAACAGGTCGACGGAACAGTATTGTGAATATCACAAAGACCACAGCCACGATACTGAGGATTGTCGAGAACTCAAGAGGGAAATCGAGAATGGAGTTAAGTTTGGTAAATTCCAGCAATATGTGCAAGGACCCTCTCGACAAAGAAATAGCAAGCCTGGTACATCCCGAAACTTTCCTAAAAGGAATTTCAGGGGCCCTCGAGGAGAAAGCCGTGGGAATAACTGGTAACCGAGGAACAATACGCAACAACCTCGTCAACAAACTATCGAGGGAGCCCCATAACCGCTTCAGCATATCCCTCTGGCAGATCCTTCCAAGCAGATCACTCACCAGGTGGGTGCCATTTTTGGAGCTCCTCTTGAAGTTTTGTCTACCACAGCCATGAAAAACTCAGCACGAACCGCCACAAAAACTCCCCGTCAAGAACCTAGTCACAAAAGGTTCAAAGGGACAGAAGCCATAGTTTTCACTGACAGTGACGTAGTCCCAGATATTTGTCGACACAGTGATGCCATAGTTATCGAGGCGATAATCGGAAATGTGCAAGTTAGTCGGGTTTATGTGGACAACAGCAGTGCAGTTGACATCATCTACAACGATAGCTTCAAAAAGATGAAAATTCAAAACCCTAATATCCGCCTAGCAACAATGGCATTGATGGGATTCTCGGGCCACACTATTATCCCAACCGGAATCATAAGTCTCCCCATCACGGTAGGGTCGCATCCCAGAATGGTTATATTAACCATGGATTTCGCCTTAATAGATGCACCCTTGCCGTTCAATGTGATCCTGGGACGACCCTAGATTTGCTAAGCACGAGCAATTTGGTCTCCTTATCACCTAGTGATGAAATTTCCTACAGAATGCGGAGTTGGAGTAATGCAGAGCTGCCAGCGCAATTCTTGAGAATGTTTGCTCACAGTTGCCAAAATTGGGAACAGGGCCACAAAGTCTAACCCAAGCACCACCATATCGGGATGCTACTCGGTCCAACAAGACGAAGTTCAATCATAGTCGGAGGATCGCGACACGAACTGCCAACCACCACTTAGCAGCAAAACACAGGAGCTCGTTCTCAACGAGAAGGATCCTTCCAAAACCATCCAGATAGGTATAACACCTCAAGGAGCATTGCTAGCCGAGGTAATTGCCTTGCTACGCGAGTTCCGTGATATATTTGCCTGATTACCTACAGATATGACAGGAGTGCCACAAGATATTATTGAACACAAGTTGAATGTTGATCCCAATGTTAAACCCGTACAACAGAAGAAGAGAATATTTGCTCGAGACTGCAATGACGTCATTAATGAAGAAACGTTGAAGCTGGATCGTGCTAATATCCTCCGAGAAGTTCTTTGGCCTACATGGTTAGCTAACCCAGTCCTGGTACAAAAGTCTGATAACTCTTGGCACATGTGCCAAGATTACACGGATCTCAACTAACATTGCCCCAAGGACTGCTATCCCTTACTCGTGATAGATCAGATGGTCGAAGGTATCACGGGGTATAGGACCCTCAGTTTCCTTGATGCCTATAAAGGATACCACCAGATCCTTGTGGCGCGAGAAGATGCAGAAAAGACAGCCTATATCACCGAGATCGGAGAGTATTATGTCTTTTGGCTTGAAGAACGCCGGGGCAACCTATCAACACCTCGTCAATCGAGCGTTCCACGACCAGATTGGCCAAAACATCGAGATATATGTGGACGACATGGTAATCAAGAGCAACAGAGATGAGCAAGTAGTCAAAGATATGCGCGAAATCTTCTTGATTTTCCGCAAGATTAATATGAAACTCAATCGGAAAAAATGTGCCTTTTGCGTAGGGTCGGTAAGTTCCTAGGATACCACGTCTCCAAGGATGGAATCAGTGTTGATCCAGCAAAAATCGAGGCGATCCTAGCCATGGAAGCCCCGAAGAACGTCAAGCAAGTTTAGAAAATTACAACATCCCTGGCAGCCTTAAGCAGATTCCTCTCTCGAGCCGCAGAAAGAAGCCTCCCATTCTTTCATAACTCTGCAAAGACAAAAATTTTGAATGGAACGAGCAATGCCAAAGAGCTTTCCAAGAGCTAAAGGATCATCTTAAATAGCTGCCTATATTGGCCAAGCCGGAACCGGGGGAGACCTTATATGTATACCTCGCCGCTCGAGAAAAGGCCATTTCAGTCGTCCTAGTCCAAAACAAGGATGGCAAGGAAATTCCTATTTACTTTGTTAGTAAAGTGTTACAAGGTGCAGAGACACGATACACGCCCATGAAGAGACTTATCTTGAGTTTGGTTATGGCTGCTCGACGCCTGCGTCCATACTTCCAAGCACATCCGATACGGGTGTTAACAGAACAACACATTCAGCAAGTTCTTCTCAAGCCAGAAGCTTCTAGTAGAATGATGAAATGGGCAATCGAGTTAGGGGAGCACCATATCGAGTATAGGACAAGAACGGCAATCAAGGGTCAGGCTTTTGTAGACTTCCTTGTAGAAATGTCTCGAACTACTGACATCCCAGAAACCCCGAAGCCTAAGAGTTACCCTACTACCCGCGTCAATGTCAATCCTCGAGCTTGGACATTATACATCGACGGCTCCCGTTGTGTCGAGGCAGGGGGAGCCGGCATCATATTGGCAAAGCCTTCAGCCGATCCAAAGATCGAGAACATGAAAGAGTATGACGCGGAGTACACTTACGCATTGAGATTTGGATTCCCGGTTACTAACAACGCGGCTGAATATGAAGCATTAATAGCAGGGTTAAATATGGTTCTAAAGCTGAGGGTTCAAAAAATCCAAGTTTTTAGTGACTCCCAGGTAGTCGTAAATTAGATCCTGGGTAATTATACGGCAAATGATGAGCAGCTCCTACAATACCTCGGGAAGGTCCTCGAATTAAAAGATCAGTTCGAAGAGTGCATCATCTCTCACGTCATACGATCAGAAAACAAAAGGGCAGACGCATTGAGCAAATTGGCTTCCTCAAACTTTGCACATGTCAGTCACAAGGATTGGGTCGAGATCCTCCCCATGCCTAGTATTCAGAAGGCTCCCGTAATAGCTATTACCGAAGATGGTGACACATGGATGACTCCGTTTATTCAGTACCTAACAGATGGGACGCTGCCTAGTAGCAAATCAGATGCTCGAGCACTCTAGTTGAAAGCAGTTAAATACAGTTTGAGAGATGGGGTCTTATATAAGCACGGGTACCTACTACCCATGCTGAGATGCATCGGACTGAAACAGGTAGCTTATGTCTTTGACGAGATACACAAGGGATCATGTGGAGCTCATATGGGAGCAAGAGCACTTGCCAAAAAGGTCCTACGTTCAGGGTACTTTTGGTCCACGGTCTTTAAGGATGCATACCAATTTGTACAAAAATGCGATAAATGTCAGTGCTTCTCTCCCATTACCCGACAACTACAGCACGAGATGGTCACCATTCAAAGTCCATGGCCATTCTATCTATGGAGCACTAACATTATCGGCCCTTTTCATCCAAAAGGGACAGGAGGAGTAAGATGGGTAATCGTAGCAGTAGATTACTTTACTAAATGGGTAGAAGCTAAACCATTGGCCTCAATATCAGGAAGGAAGGTGTTGGACTTTTTCTGGCAAAACATTGTCTGCCGTTTTGGAGTTCTGAGGATCGTTGTCTCTGACAATGGGACTCAATTCGGGAATAACCCCTTCGAATCATGGTGTGAAGAAATGCAAATCGAGTGCCGTTTCTCAAGTGTAGCTCATCCTCAGGCTAATAGTCAAGCAAAGTCAATCAATAGAACCATCTTGCATGGGATTAAGACCAGACTATATGATGCTAAAGGTGCTTGGGCTGAGGAACTTCCTCATGTCCTGTGGTCATACCGTACCATCGCGCACTCCTCGACAGATGAAACCCCCTACAGCTTGGCCAATGATATGGACGCGATTCCCCCAGTCGAAATAGGCCTAGCAAGTTCTCGTACAATCAACTTCGTCGAGAGCACTAATGATGACGATATCAGGCTAAATCTTGGCCTCCTTGAGGAGCGGCGAGATGCCGTCAGGATCAGAGAGGCGAAATACAAGGAGATCCTCCGTAAACACTACAACAAGCGGCTCAGGGCAACAGATTTTGCGGTGGGGAATCTTGTGTTAAGGAAAAATGAAGCCAGTCGAGCAGAGATTCCCGAAAAACTCACGGCAAATTGGGAAGGACCTTACAAGGTCATTCAGGCCTCTCCGGCAGGCAACTACCGCTTACAAGCCATGGATGATAGCGAAACCATCCTCCCTCGATGGTGGAACATTCAGAACCTTCGCAGGTTCTATGTTCAAGTCTTTCTCTACTACTTGCTAGTTTAAGTTATTTGTTTTATTTGCCTTACGTACTCTATTGTTTTTACTTTCTCATATGTAATAATAGCCCGGGGTCCTCGGGTAATTATTCAATAAACGTCATTACATATTTTCTCATATTGTCGACATATAATTAAGACTAGTCCTCGAGATGGACTCCCTCTTAAGGGCCATCCTCGTTCGGAGCCGTGTATTCAACATCCGGACGAAAGTGAAGGAAACCCCTCGTACCCACCGTAGATCACGGTAACAAATTGAGGAACTCATATCCAGTTTCCGCGAGAAAGCCGTGTACTTAACATCCAGGTCAGAAGCGCTATACAAACAAAAAAAAACTCGAGTTTCATAAAGCAACACGTTTGCTTCCTTCACATATTGTATGAGGTTCCAAGGAGAACATACATGTTTTCCTACGATATTACAATGATCTCTCCGCTTGGGTTGTTAGGAGAAGGATAGGTAATGCCTTTAAACCCATGCAGGCAAAGAAGATTTACACACTGGTTGAGCTTATCCTTTAGATCTATAATCTCTTCGTCTAGGGAGTGAACCCTTAAAAGAAGTTCCTCTCAAGAGCTCCTGGTTCTTGGATCTGTCAGCTCCTCGAGCTTCTCGAAGGGTAGGAAGTCGACGCTATGGTCCAGCAGTAAGTTCTGAAGCTTGCTTATGTATTTCATCAGAAGCTTAGCTTCACAAGTTCTTTCCTTCAACATGTCCATGGCCAAAATAAATCGACGCATTCTTATTGAAATCATGTGCTGCACTCGAGCAAGGACCTTATGCTTCTCGAGAAACCATGGCAACACGGTAATCTGTTTGCCCTGTTTCAACCGGGCATTTTCTTTTTCCAGAGCAACCAGCTCATCATGAATGTCTGTCTCAAAAGTTAGAGAATCACTGAAATCTTTATCTTTCTGACAATCTCGTCGTTGAATTTCTGCGCGGAGTTCTTTTATTTCCTTAATCAGATGCTGGTTGACTTTCACATTGCGCACCCGCATAGCATCGAGAAGGTCCGCTTCTAAGTTCAGTACTGTCTCGATACTATGGACATCTGCGTGACTTCTCATAATCTCGCTAATCATCGAGTATAGAGGATATTCCCTGGATTGTTCCTCTGACAAAATCATGAGATGAATCCGATGGACTGACCAACTATCCTATTTTCGGGAAAAATCCAAAGGCCAAAAATTAGATTTGGAGGGATAGACAACATGCCATTCACTTAAGGGATAAATAAAAACTTGAATTGTTTACAAAGATCCCTAGCAGCTATTACAGAGGGACGAGTTCATACAGCATCTTGCCCAGCAGAACCATCCTTGGGATGACTCAGAGATACCTCTCCGGTGTTCTTCTGCCCAGAGTTGCCAGCGTCAGACACGTCTTTCCCCGAAGCCTCATCATCTTCTTCCTCAAGCTCGATGCCGATATACTCATCCGACACCTCAGGAATCGGCTCCTCATCTCTTGGACCCTTGGACAAGACTACGGCGGGATCACCGGGGAACACGGCCATATCTTCAGGAGAACCCATCTTAACGAGGGCGTCGCACAGAGCTTCCCATAAAGGCAGCTTCACTGCTGAACTTCGTGAGGACCTTTACCAAGGCCTCATACATGGTTTTCCTAGGGCTCTCTTTTAGGAATTGTTTGAACCATTTGGCCTTGATGGGTCTATCTCTGCTAAGCCTCTTAAGCCTGCAACAGCTACTCTGTGAGCACTGTACTCTGTGGCCGCCAGATTGACCTCCTCGATAGCTGCCGCCATGCCACCTGAAGATAACATCCGGAACCAGAAGGCAGCACATCATTTGTGGAGGTCCTCCCTCGAGATATGCAGATCAGCAAAAGCCCTCAGGTTCTCATCCAACTCATTATATCTCGCCTGCACCGAGGCTAACTCCTGCTCTTTGGCTTGTATCTGCTGATTCTTCGCCTCGAGAGCGGTCTTCTCAACAAGCGCTTGATCCCTCTTGATCCGAGCCTGGACCAACTCCTCCTTTAGGTTCCTCAAGTGCATCAGGTATGCCATCAAGGTCGCACTCATTTGTAAAATTTAGCCGAATGAGACGAAATTCCATTGCGGGAGTGTTTGCAAACATATTCTTGAGGGGGTATAAAGTACTTACAAGCCTCACGCTGTCGGTCGCTGTTAGTTGCGCAACAAACTCTTTCAACAAGGGGCATTTAATGGTCGGAGGATCGCCAAAAGTATGAAATGCCACAGTTGGTCCTCCCTTGGATGGCATAATGGTTGCTTCCTCCTCGAGCGGGCCCTTCCCTTTGTCCACAATAGGTACATTGGTGCTTGGGTTTACTTCTATTTGGGGAGTGGCGGCCCTTTCGGCTGTGAGGGGGGCACTAGTTTTCTCCATTTCAGGAGGCATGGTATTCTCTTCTTGCGCCGTTGACTTCAAGAAGAGCACATCTGCCTTCTTTTTCTTCTCCCTCTCAGAGATCTTCATGAGCCTCTTCATTTTTTTCTTGGTTCCAGCAACTACCATAGTTGACTCTTCTTCATCTGAATTCACAATAGGAAAGGGGTCTTCATCACCATAAAGTCGAGAACCAGCATTGTTCGATGACATGACCTAAAAACAGGAATAAAAGAGATTAGTACCTTTTTTTTCCTCGAGCAGAATGTTAATATCTTTCCCCTCCTCGACGAAAACAGGGGGAGTAGTACTGCAAATCATTCCATTTAACAAGCTTGGAGTACTTCAAGATTTTCTTCAAATCGTCGGCAAACTCCTCGACGCTATCATCATCCTCCTTGGACCACTCATCCCTTATCACCCCGAGACCTTCTACTTCTCAATAGTTCCAAGCGACACAACATTTTTCCAACGCTTTCATAAAGAGGTATTCAGGATTCCATTCAGGTGAACCACCATAGGCCTCGACCATCTTCTTGACGCCAGGTCTAAGGCGTCTCTTGACAATGTACCAATCCTGGAATGATGTCGAGGGAACAACAACTTGGAAGAGATATCTCCACATGATTATTTGAGGCCTTACTTCTACTCGTTGACATATTTTCGCAAACCCGAGTACAAAGGTTATTAAATTTTGTATAAAACGAGCAAGGGGGGTTTTACAGTGTTGGACAATCTCCTCGAACAAAGGGAAGAGGGAGAATCTTAGCCCTAGATGCATAAAGCGGACATATACAGTGATTCTTCCCTCACGATGAGAATTAGCCCTCTTGGTTCCTAATGGGGCTCTAGCTTCTAGATATAGGGGTAGGTCATATCTCATTTTTACATCGTTCACCTTCATCGGAATCTATGGTGGAAGCGAAGTTGTCGACAGTTTTTAAATCTGGGTTCTTAACCATATCTATCACAGTACTTCAGATCTAAACCAGAACTGGAATTCTAAATGAATTAGACAGTAAGAGTGAATTAGAGAGACTTACTATTGGAAAAGACCACTCGCCTTTCGAGTTGTAACCTCCCAGGGTGGTGATAATCTTCGGCGAGTCTTACAAATGGTGTAACAGCAACGGTGACTATGCAAGGGCAATTAAGGGACTGAGCAAACCCTTGGCTTAAGCTCTCAACATGGCTTCTTCAAAATTCAAAAGCTTTCGCCTACGGAAATGTCACTGGAATTGAGGATTCCGGCGACGGTAACAAAGTATGGCTTTTGGAAAGTCTTTGGGCGGAATGATTTTAGAGACGAGTGAAATAAATGGTTTTAATCTGTTCCAATCTATATAAAGGAAGTGGAATCCCCCCATGATTTGACGGTTCGCCCATTTTCAAGGAGGCGCAACGATGTGAAGCCATCGTTTGGGAAACGTGCAGAGTAATGGACGCGTCTGCGTCCGTTTAGGCGGGGTTCTGCATTGGATCACCTTCCCGGATTGAATCCTGACCGTGAATTACCCCATCAGACCTGCTTGATGGAGCATGGGCCAAGACTTGTCTGTTTCCCTTGTGTCGGGTCCAGGTTAGACTTATTTTGTGTCAAGTATTGTCTATTTCATATAACTAACACTTGACAGGGGCACCATATCCATCACCAATATTGGACCGGTCCATCAACCGAGTAAAAAGCCCAACCAATTCTGTTAAGGCAGTTTGAGCAATACAAAATCTAATAGGACTTGGTTATTTCCCAGGTAACCTCATGCCTATAAATAGGGTTGGTTATACCACAATTGAGGTACGCTATCTCTAGCACAAACAATTACTCACACCCGTTCTTTAAACCCTTTTCTGACTTAAGCATTGGAGTGTCTACCCTCAGGAGACCCCCGAGACTTTCTTTTGCAGGAAACCCTAGCCAAAGTTCCACTGTTAAACCGACGGTGAAGAACCAAGCTTCATCAGGGGTGTTACACAAAGTGTCTGATCGGTATGATATTTCTACTAGGGTTAGAGGGCTTGTCGTGAGGACCGCCAATTTGACACCCCTCAAACGGAACGAGCATAGCAATTGTTCGGGGAACTGCCTTGACCATTTAGATTATAAATGACTAATTAGATTATAAATGAGGAGGTCAACATTAGTTTAAGAATAAAGAAGTATGTCTCTAAAATTACTAAAATGTCTAAATTCTTGATCACGAATAAAAATAAATAAAAGAAAACCTACCATTATTTAAACCCAAGTTCAAGCTAACTAGTGTTCATGTTATGTGACCATTGTTGGGTAAATAGTGTAGTGGAACCAAAATGGCCACGTTGCTCATTTCTTCTTCACTCTTCATTTTATTAAGTCAATTTGAACCATTCATGTGCTAAGTAAATAAACCACTCTTTTAACCTTTTAATTCCAGCCGACTTCAACTTAATAAAAAAACAGATGAGAAAAGAAAAAAAAAAGAATGAAAATTTTGACCTTTCTACATTTTTCATTCTTCCCTCTCTCTCACCTTCATTGATCTCAACCATCCTCACCCTCATCCATCACCCAGGTCCTCTCCTCCTTACCTCCCTGCCACCATCGAATCTCACCAACAATCTTCAATCTCAGCACCACTATTTCTTGTTGCTAATCGCCAATCAATCATTCTCACCTTAATTTGTAGCTAACCGAATCCATCAACGCAATCGTTCCCTTAATTTATTCTGCTTCCCCAACAAATCCACAAAAGAGGTAAGGCAGTGAGCCGCATATTCAGAGAAGGGAGAAACGGGAAACTAAAAGAAAAGGAGATTGGCTTTGAGTTATCGACGCTGTCAAATTGATCATCAAATAGTAGGCTCGGGTTGCGCAATCGGATCAATTCTTCATCACCCGTAAGCCTATCACCTTTGTTTTATTATTTCAAACAAGTAGACTAGGATCCAATGGTACTAAGTTTTATGATTAACGGCCATCTATTAAATCAGAGGTAGAAAAAGTTAATTTAAAGATATGTTGTTGTAATTTAGAAATGGGGCCATTGGGGATTGTTGTTTATAATCTAGAAATATAATGGTTTTGTTCCAAATGCTTAGGATCAGTCATACCCTTGGGCAGTAGGTCTATAGCTGAACTAGTTTGGTAGCTGGTTTGTCATGGAGTTGCTAACTATAGTGAGGGAAAGTGATTACGATCACTTATATTATGCTATGTACTAACTAATATTAATTTAAATTTGTTTCAAGCTAGTCAAGTAGGCTACAAATGAACTAATGAACAAATTTATATAGTTGACACTGGTGTGTACTGAAACTTTAATTAAACTGGAAATTTAATTGGAAACTCTTATTCGCATGTACCCTACAAAGTTAAATGTAACTGATATAGCTATTTTGATGCATAGATTAATTTGAGGACTATTTTCTGAATCTGTGTTTCTAGGTGAGTAATCTCACTGTATTAATAACTGCATGTAAACTAGTTAAAGTAATAATACAAAGATGCATGCCTAATATCTTTTTATTGATCTTTAACTAAAACGTTGCATGCCATGACTGTCCTGCATGTGTACTTTATCGCAGCGGCTTTATGGTTGCTATATGTGTTAATTGGTGCTGCTTAAATACTTCAATGTTTTTAGAATGTTATTGTGACTTGGAATATACATATTTAATGAGCCTCACAATTGTCTAGATGAAGGTTTAGTTGTAAATCCTGGAGTCAGTGAAAGTGAGTATGTATTCAATTGACTAGAGTGGTCTGCGTCTGTTTAGGGGACATCTGTACTTTATCGCATGTGCCTTTGATCTTTTAACGTCCTATATGCGGGTCGTGTCTTGCTTGATACTTGTGCATGTATCGTTAGTGGATCCACGAACCTGTCAACGAGCTTGATCACTTGGCTAGACAACCCAAGAGGGCATTATCGGTATAATCTCGAGATATACCCCTCCTATCGTTCCACTTTGGGCATTGGCTGTCGATGCACACTTACGTTCCTTTATTTTATGACCTCTTTACAAGTTTTGAGATGAACTAGAAGTTCGTTCCATGAGCCAAAGAGGCAGGATCGACTTCTATATATTCTCATCTGTATCCACTCTTAATAGGTGCCTTCTATGATTTTATATGCTTTCCTTGGCTTGCGGTAGCCAATCATTATTTATCTAGTGATGATACTTTTCTGTAAACTCCTAGTCGTAGTGCCTTTGCAGAATATGATTGACCTTCTATGTTAATCTCATATGAAACTAGTTTGTTATGTAGTCACCTAGACTAATAATGGCTAACTGGTGAGACCTCACTGAGCATACGCTCATCTTTACGTATATTTTTTCATAATCCAGGAGCAGGAGTACTGGATTAGCTTCTTGCAGCGTTTCAGGGAATCCAGCGTGTGGCCAGACAATCGGATTTAGTTGTACCCTCGAGCTATAGACTTTTAGTTAGTTTATATGTGAAAACGTTGTATTTTAAGACACTGTAAGGAAAACATATAATTTTATCTGTGAATCATTATTTTCTTTAACCTATGGCTTGACAACATCTTAAGTTATTGCTCTTGATTACCTATTAAATTATATTTTCGAGACCTAGTGAGAGTTAGGCAGGCGTTTCGATTATGACTCCTTCTATTTCGGAAAGGGGTATAGTTGGGGCATTACACTTGTGGTTCCACAATATAAACAGTGGAGATTGAGTTCTAACGGTCAGTTCATAAATTATGATTTTGGAACTTTTTGTATTTTTAGATGTATTTTACATTTGTGTTGTTATATAGAGTTATTGGTGTCTTTGTGTACTCTACTCATTTATCCTTGTTATATCAGATACGGTAGACATCTAACTCTCGTAGTTTTCACTTTTTCACTATGAAGGGGTTTTCACGTAAATCTTTTTGTTGTTTCGGCCTTGATTATTGGTTTATCTACACATTTGGTAGCTAGATTAGTTTTGTTTTGATTGGTATTTCTCCTATTATATTCTAACAAATGGGAGGAGCAGAATTGCTTGAGTAATTTTTGAATTAGTTAGAACCTGAAAATCTTTCTATCCTTTCTTCTTGCTAAAAAAAAATAAAAAATAAATGGGGAGGAGTAGAATTGCTTCCGCTTAAATAGTTAGCCAGATTGCTGAAATAGCTAGTTAGCTTATGTTTCTGCCTAACTATATGTCATTGATACAGAGAAACTTTGTTTTTAACCATTTTTTTATTCCAAACGATGATTAACTT